CAGTCAGCTATTACATTTTGTTCTACATATGGCCACTTCAAAACATTATCGTCTGAAAAAATTGATCCTTTGTCGCAAAAAACGAGTCAGAAAATGTTCATGAAAAAAATTAACACCGGATTCGAGATCCTCGACCCCGATTACCCTTCGATCAACCGTTACCCTGCATATTAATAATTTATGTCTAGTTGACATCTAGTTAATTAATAGTTAATAATTAGTTAAAGCTAACCTCAGATTCAAGTTCTCCGACCTCGATTACCCTACCGGTAATCATTTTCTAACAACGATCGATCAATTTCATTGATTTTAGAAATGCTGATTTCTGATTGGATAGGATAGACAGACAGACAAACTTTAAGCTTTTTAGCACGGCATTTAAGCGCTGTATAACCCTTTCTTTCAGAAAAGGGAACAAACTATAAATGTGTTCAACGATCCAAAAGATGGTACCATAAAGTAGCATTTGAGATGATATTTGGGTATCCATAATGAATGCTTATTAGATTTACAAAGAATACTAAGATACAAACATAACGACGTTGTTGCAGTTTCGCGAAAGTTTAGTGCGGTCTTTACTTTCTGGTATACTGCTCGAGAATATGAAACCTAGTCGCAGAGAACGTTCAACAAGTCAGACGAAACGCAAGCTGGCGGATCACAAGCTCGAAGAAAAGGATGGGTCTACGGGCAATATTGGTAGATGGTGCACTGGTTGCTGTGCGAAGGGAAGACCAGGATGTTCAAGGGAAGAGAGTAATGCAGCAGCAAGAAAGTCAAAACTTTCGGTTCTGACTGTGATAAATTTTTTTAGTCTTGAGGGTTGTCTATCATTTACCCCAAATTGTGGTTCCCAGATTCTTCGCTACGTAACCTTCACCCGTTTCTGCACCCACAAACTATCATCAATCGCCGAATAAGACACAGAACGTCGAGACGCTCTGTTCGTGTTCGAAAAACTTTCAACCGCAGTTATGGTAGCCAGAGCAGTATGGTTAAATCAATATACTCGACCCATGCCATTGGCGAGACGCGAGAGATCTGAAACATTGCTTCAATCTCTATTTCGACGGTCGTTCGATGTAAACTTTTTTGCCATACAGTTATATCTGATGCATCTGATATAGGTTTTTTAAGAATGACAGACGACATCGAGCCGATTCTATCGATTTCACTGATCTTCAGTTTAGCAAATTCACCGAGGCGAGTATTGACCGAGATTATTGCATGTCCATTTACTATCAGTCGGTCGAACAAAGAAATATTCGTACGCTGAAGCATGCTTGTAGGCTGAGAAAGGCTACCCTTTTCGGGGGTGAATACACAGATTTTCTCCTTGTGATAGTTGCGCGTAGTATGCACGGGATCAGCAAGCACTTTCCACCCTGCGAGATGCTCATTTTTCGATCCTCCAGTGCAGTTGGCATAACCATTTCGAAGAAGTGGTGTAGGTTGATAGCTGACGGTGCTATTCGTCCCGTTTGGAAGAACAGCATGCAGGAGTGAAAGAGCGTCTTGCAAGCGACATTGACTCTCCATGCACTCGGCACCGAACATGTTGGAGTACGACAAGTTGGCGAAGAGAAGATAAATACCGTTCATTCGAGCATATAGAAGAGAAGCGAATGCGAAGCTGCTACCAGACATATAGGCTTTTTCGAGATTAGCTTGATTGAAATTTGATTGATGAAAATTACCAAATCCCATCCTGGCTTCACAGAATGTGGAGTTGGACAACGAAGCGGAATAAAAAATGCATCGTTCTCCGCTTGAGTGAGCAAAAGATGCGCTGGTGAGGTCAGCACGTCGAAACGAGGCCTTATCTAGCGTTGCGTGTGAGAAGTCAGCTCCCACCATTGACGATCTATCGAATATTGTTTGCTTGCAATTAGACCTGCTGAAATTAGCATAATTGAGCAAAGCACCAGTGAAATTCCAAAAGGATAGATCTTGCCCAACAAATGTTGCTTCATTCATATGGATGCCAGCCAACGACAGATTACTCATCGAGATTAGATCATTAGCTGCGCTCATATTAATCCGATGAAGTATGGCACCTGAAAGATTCAATGGCTGCTGGTGATGTCCTCTAGTCAGTTGACCAGCATCGAATAAGAACTGAATTAGCCTTGTGGAGCGCTCAACGCCGACAGAGCGGATGACATGAAGTGTTTTGGCTCGAGCAAGAGCGTTGATGATCGGATTCGCAGTGAGTGATCCATTGTGGTTCTCCAGTAAGGTGCCCATGTCGTTGATATGCGAGAGAAGTAATGCGTCGAGGTCTCTGCTTTTAGCTTGTTCAAAACGATACTCTTCAATCTCGCGCGAGACATTTCGTTCTTTCTCTGCATTAAGATCGTCGGCCAATTGCTTACGCTGGGCAATCGAGCGATCGCTGTCACGTTGCTCTTTTGCATTCAGGTTGTCTGCGATGCGCTTTTGTTCGGCAATGTCCAGATCTTGCGCACGTTGCTCAGCTGCAAGTTTGGCATCTTCCGAGCGCTGTTCCTGCTGCTTCTCGTACCGCTGCTGCTCAATGATTAACTCATGTTGTCGCTGTTCAATGGACATATTTCGTTGTCGTTCTGCATTAAGATTGTCTGTGACGCGTCGTTCTTCGGCAATGACTTTGTCCGACTCACGCTGTAGTGAAGACATATTCAAATCTTGCTCACGTTGTTCCCGAGCCAGAGCACGATCTTCCAAACGCTGAATATTCGAATCTTTTCGTTGTTCGAATGTGATCACCACTGTGAATATCGCCAGCAGAAGTGGAAGGAGAAAGGAACCCAATACTTGAAACCAATCTCTCATCGACATACTACAGTAATCACGACGGTGACGATCAAGTCGGCGATTATTACCATTTTCCAGCTCGTGAACATTCAAAGCCGAGCTCTTCGTCTTTACTTGTCTCTCATCTTGTGGTATCATTTACTCCGTGATACCGTTGATCGAGACCTGCCAAACCACAGACTAACTACACCTAGGGAGAGTTGCTGTCATATACCTCGTCATTTATTATATCCTAGTAATAACAAATACTTCATCGTTCTGTTCAGTTGAACAGATGGTTGTCAAATCGAATGTTATCATGTTTATGAATGATAGTGTCGAGAAGCCAAATATTGATGTGATGTCAAGAGATATAGTTGTCTATTGACATTTGTCAATCAAAAATGTCCTTCGATTATTAGATGATAAGAGAGAATTTTGCTCCATTTTCTCATACTCCTTGATGACTGCTCGGACGCAATAAATATGATCGAAGTGCATGTAAAAATCTGAATTCTGAGTGACTCTCTGTTTCCGAAAATCTATCATCCTCTTTTTCAATGATTTTTCGACAATATCTTTGATTTCTATTTTTTTAGATTTGTTTGTAGTGCCACCTTCATTTTGTACATCTATGTCACTGCATAAGACCAACTTTTGCCATACTTGCCTGGATAAAATCCATTCGGAAGGCAATCCTGTGCGAAGATGGCTGAAGCTGGGCGTGAAGGAGTCGACTTTTGTGTGCTCAATATGCAAAATTTTCGAATTGCGCCAAAGCAATAAAGAGTGACAATTTGTTGTTAGCGTCATGGGTTGTTACTACATGACGCTATCGTGTCACATATCTATGTACATATACATAGATATGTTTATGCTTCTTTACGTTCATCTCTTTTCTTCCTCTCTTCACATTCCTTTCTGTCGTGATACACATTTTCTTTTCTTTCCTGTGAAATGTGTTTCTTCTCTTGATCATCATACCCTCATGATGATCTTTTTTTGTTGTCTCTCCGTCATTTTTTGTGGTAGTTAGACCACGCTGTTATTTTTCAGTTGTCGTTTTTCTCTATTTATTGCTCTATATATAGAGTTGATTGTTTTCATTTTTGTGTGATTCTCTTTATTCGTTTGTTTTGCCCTTGTCTGACCCGAATAAATGTGGTTGCCATCCCACATCTTTCACTGGGTACGGTGAGATTGATTTCTTTTTCGAGATCCATAGATCATTTGCGATCCAGGATTTATTATTGATTGGCACTAGGACAATTCGTCGACGGACAATTCGTCGACGGACAATTCGTCGCCATCATAATATTATTAATTGGCAGCATTACATATGTAAATCAATTAATAAAAAAAAGCTACACTATCACCAAAAATGTTGTTAGTGACACTAAGTGGAGCCTATCAATCTAATGGTACTGTGAACAGAAAAATACGAATTACTTGAAAACTAAATACAGAATGTTTCGAAAGTGCCAAAATATANAAAAAAAAGGAGTTTTACCAAACCAAAAAAGGATCTTCCCACCGATACACGGGACGATCCTTTTTTGGTTAAGCAAAATGAAGGTTCCGAAGAGAACCTTACAGGAAAAACTGAGAACAAAGGTTCCGCAGCAAAGGTTTAGTACGAAACTTTTTTTCTTCAAAAGACAGAAGGTTCCGTATCATAGGTACCGTACGGAACCGTCTGTAACTATATTAAAAAACGTTTCGTAAAAATCCATAGCTGCGAAACATTCGTTGCATTAGTTGTTCTCTTGGGTTAGTCACAGACTCCTTTATAGTTATCCTCCTACAGGCCCCGTATTCAGTCAATACAGAATATAGGGTGTGGGCGGGTGAGGGTGCGGGTGTTCGGAATGAGTGGTACGAAACGTAGTTCACCCCTTTCGAACGTCCACACACCTTCGCCCACCCTTTCATCGTGACACGAACGTGCGAGTAGGTTCTAGCCAGTCCAGTAGATCCATTGCGATCAACTCTAAACGAGAAAGGCGACAGAATATGGTTTACTAAATATTATCACTTACCTAGTTGAATACCAGGCTATTGAGAATTTCCCGTCGATAGATTTCCATCGATATAGTGACGACTAGTGAGAAAAACTAGAAATAAATAGAAAATAAAAAATGCATGGATATTTATAGGGTCTCACCGGACGGTCTATTGAAAACTGGACTTCTACTTTTCCTAACTGAACCAACGGCAGATATCAATGGTTTGGTAGAGGGTTCGCCGAACAGGAATAATAATTATGAGATCATTAATTGATTTGCGGAACTTATGCGTAACTACTGACCAGTACAAAAATATATTTGTATATACGAGTAAATTATGGGAAACCTGGAGCCGCTATACGAAAGTAGGGATAGTTCGGTACAAATACTGCCAAGCCTTCATTCATTCGACGTAGTAGATAATGATTTCCCAAAGGTTATACTGAACTAATCAGAGGCATACAGAACTCGTCATAGTTTAGTGTATATTTGTCAAACCTCTGACTAATATACAAAGCCAGCAACAGTTCGGCATGAATTCTGCCGAATCTTGCGCGAGAAAAATAGACCGATCTTAGTTTCGTCTAAATTTCATCAAATCATGAATAAGTACACGGAATCGCTGATGATTTCGAAGAACTTCTGCCAAACAGTTACTCGTTCTACGAGTTTTTTGATAGTCTTGAATAAATCCTACCGGACTTGCGATTACTGTACGAAGCTATTAACAAATCATGAGTGAGCTCACGAAAACCTTAGGCGATTTTGCTAGAAATCTGGACAACCCTAAGCCAAAGTACGACATTAATGATGGTCTTGCAGAAGTTATGCACAATGTCTTTGTAGTACATGAAACTATGTACCGTTCTGTGTAATGAAAACGAAACCTTTATACGAGCTGCTGAATTCTAGATAGTTTTATGCTAAAGGTACGGAACCGTTTCGGAGCTGGCTGTATTTTGGTTCGTTTCGTATAAAACGCACNTTCATATCAGTCTTTGTAGAGCTTTTTTCGCTGATCATTTTGGTAAAAAAAGTTTTCGAATTTCATTGAGAAATGACGATGTTACAGTCAAAATACTTATTGTAAAACCAGAAAAATGTCAGATTTTTTTTATAGAAATAACATATACAATGTTCAATTGAGATTTATTCATCCTAACCGCTGGCATCTAAGAAACCAACTATGGGGCCGTGTAGAGCAAACTTTCCTCTACAAAACCTACTATGTCGCGTTTCCCCAGAATATGACCATTTTGAGATATATGAACCGACTTTTTTTGCATTTAACAGTATTTTACAGTGTTTAGTATTTTGACTGTAACATCGTCATTTCTCAATGAAATTCGAAAACTTTTTTTACCAAAATGATCAGCGAAAAAAGCTCTACAAAGACTGATATGAAAGAAAATTTTCTGAATACTTTGTACCATTTTGGTTGACTATTCAATGAATACCCTGCTATAAAAAATGCGAAAATTTATACATTTCTGTCTTGTCGACGCATTTCACTACTGGTCAGAGCTAGAGAGCTGAAATTTTTAGAAGTCAAAGATCTTCATCAGATATATGTATGATAAAATTTTGAGCCCTCTAGGTTAAGTAAAAGTACAAAAAATATGGATAACAAATTGTCCTCAGAACTTCTGGGACACCCTTTATGATCAAATAATGCAATTAGTTCTATATCAAGTAAAATTATTTCTTAAATATTCTAATAACGTATCGTTAATGATATTTCATAGTAGAGACTATTTAATAAAAGAAATCGAATAATCAATATCAAATGTTCATGAAACATATTAGTTTCTTTCCTTTCTTTTCAATTACACATACTTTATTGATAAGAAATGGATAAAAAACAATCGTTATTATTTAATGCTAATCAAAAGAAAAACCATTATCAGGAATTCTTAAGGCACCCCCCACCCAGAAAACTTTTTTTTTGTCAAAATTTTCGAATTTTTTGTAACTAGCACATGTGATAGAACGTCATATCGCTATCGAATGTGGTATAGTAAATTTTGTTTAGAATGAGATTTCATGGGTTTCAATGGGTTTTACCGAAAACCATCACCAAAAACCAAATTTTTTCAAAAACTATTTTATGTTTTCTCTACGTTGAAATATGATAATAAAACATGTTTTCTATAATTTTGCAAAATCTGTACTTCTACGAAGTATTTTTGCATTTTTTCTAAAAACCCCTTCTAGATTTTTGGTTTTTCGTGTGTCCCAGATTTCTCCGTCATTTTTTAAGCTAGAAAGGTCGGGTTTGCTTCAAATCATACCTATACTATGACGCTACAACTTAGCAGAGCTCGATTTTGCGATTTCATGATAGGTTTTAAATGACGAGAAAATAACTGATAGTATGTACACTGTTAAAAGTGATATCTTGACGTCGAAGTTCTCGGAGAATCAAGCAACAGAAATATTAAAAAATCGGGCTCTGTTAAATTGTAGTACCGGATCTCGGCTACGTTTTAAAACTAGTCCGACATCGTCAGTATTCAAAACACCTGAGAAATTTGGCACGCCAGAAAACCAGGTTTTGACACCGGATCTTAGAGTATGTTTCATATTTCGCGCTGAAGTATTTACGGTGACATAAGTGACCCAAGGTACACCTCTGGTGAAAGTTTCAGCAATGTCGTTCAATCAGAAACTAAAATAGGGTCGAGAGTGGGCGGTGCCTTAACAGAATACAAGATTTAGCTTGAGAAGCTCTACTAGATACACATATTGCAAAATGGTAAAATAAACAGAATAGAGTTATTCGTTTGTATTACCTTTTTCTCATGCTGAAAACCTGTTTTCTTGAGATCTTGAATACTTTGCCAATAAAAACTGCTATTATAAAACAAGTTGTCCGATATACTTTGCGGTTCTTTTCAAACTGCGTCTTGTGATATATTTTATTTTTTATACGTGTGATATGATAAAAGAACGAAATGGAAAAGGCTGTTTTTTTTTGTTCGAAGAAATTTGCTGGTATCAGTCAGTTGTGATAACATGTTATGTAAAAAATCCATCCCCCATTGAACTTTTAAGCAACAAGATCATATTTCGTCGTGCGAAAAAGCACCCCAAGACTGTTTATCCGATGATGTGACTTTTATTACGATCATGAATTGTTATTTTTCCTCATATTCATTACCGAGTGTTTCTATACTAGTATATTATATAAAATATACATAGGTCTATGCTTTGATGATGAACATGATGATGATGACACTGCAAAGCAGTGCTTTAGCAACATATGTGAAGCTGCACGATTGAACAATTACGTCGAATTTAATAGAGCATGCGTCAGAGGTCTTTTCAGTTTATTTACTACTATTCGATTTCAAATAATCACTGATATTGATCTAGTTACACATCATCAAAGACAATCAATTAAATTCAAGTGTAAGTATAATGAATGCAATAGTTTTCAAGTTCTTTCGAAAATGCAACATATTATTGATCGATATTACAATTTATCATCAATACACAAAGCACTCGTCTATGACCAAGAATGGTTCAAAGAAACAAAAACAACTCGTGATACAACAAAATCTTCGACGCTAGTGAGTGTAATTGCTAAGGATATGAACCAATCAATTATTATCATATCGTTTTAGACTGGTGATTTAACCAAATCAACATCAAAGATCTTTGTGACTAAAACTTCAATTACTTCACAACCAGCTGGTTCGAATCTTTCTACAAATAATGAATTTAACAATGCGCTGGCGAGTGAATCAATAGTTTCTACAACAAGTCATCAACTAGTTCCAGTCACAGATCGTGCTATCAACAGTAATTCGATGACGACTCAAGCAACTACTTCAGCGACACGACATGTTGATACGTCAAAAACAACAGAAATAAGTGTTTGTACATCGTCATATCTATCGACTACGACAATCCAACAAAACACTACATCAATAATGATCAAATCAACGAAAGCTACAACATCTCACCAAATCATTTCAACTGAACATCAATCGTCTAGCACAATGACGCCGGAATATGTCACCTTCAATACAGAAAACAGTATTTGGCAAACCAAATCTAAGTGTATGCTTTTGAGTACAGTTTTTTGTCTGCTTGTGTGTTCAACTAATTTCTGAGCAGTCAATGCGACAAATATACTACTATACACTGAGAAAAAAAATCAGCAGAATGATCAAACCTTGCCCTTTAGAAAATGTCTTATAAACCGTTGAAGGGTTCATGATTTGGAAGGTTCATGACAGTGGGGGTATATAAAATTGAAAAGGATAGATATAAAACATTCAAGGGTATATTGGTTCCCATATTCATCCTAATGATTTATCACTTTGCCTATAAGAGTATATCAATGTACGTTTTCGCCAAAATAGTTTAATGTTCTACGCTCGAAGATACCTCACTCTCCTTCATGAGCAAAAGAGTTTATTATTCTAGAAGAAAATGTTGATTCTTCTACCTTGTGATTAGATGTGTTTATTACTGTACACACAGAGTAGATCATTCTACTTCTTCGTCAAAAGGGGTTTATTGTTCTTCGCATAAGAGTAGATCATTCTTTCCTTCATTAAACTAGTCTCTTATACTACGTACAAAAGTACATCATTGTGCCTTAATATTTGCAGAGCTTTACTATTATACGTTTCATACGTATATGGATAAAGATCGGTAGATAAATCACAAAATAACGAGTAAAAAGCTGACTATCATCAAGTTGAGGGTGTTGTCAGGTAAACTGATGTGATCGTGAATCATAGGTGACTGATTTTTGCTTAAATTTATCAAGGATATTCTTGGTTAATATTCTGTCGTAACACCTCTTGATTTGATGAATGGGGGACATCATCTTTTCACTTTTTTTATATTAGATGTAGTAATCGAATAAACAGACAATTTGATCGATAATAAAAGTTTTAGTGAAATCGTTTTTTCTACAAAGAGCTTCATATCTTTGGTACTGAGAATCAGAGTCTCTCTATTTTTTGTGTACTCAAAAAGTGAGTACACTACTAAAATCGGTCAGTGTGTCCGTCCGTCCGTTTATCCGATAACTCTCGAATAGGTTGAGCGAATGACAAGAATTTTTCTTCCGCAGGTTCATCTCATGAATATCTCGGTCGAGTTCGAAGATGAGAAGGATCGGTTAAGAAATGGCTGAGATATCGTAAAAATACTAAAACATGGCACCACAAGCCCTGAGGGGGGGGGGGTACAGGTATTTTCAGAAAAAATTTTCCGCCACATAGATTGCTATAATCAGTTTCATGAGAGCAACCATCTCGTGAAATGATGTTCCATAAGGAACCCGTAGGTCCTCTAGTCCTATATAGTGGGGGTACCCATAGGTCTTCATGTCCTATACTATGAGGGTGCCCTTGGGTCCTGAAGTCCTATACTATGGAGGTGCCCTTAGACTATGAAGGCGTTGAATACAATGGTAATCTGTGATCTTTCTGTGATACACTATGACAGTAACCAGGGCTTCTTATAGGCTGTTATGTGGAGATGGTTTGGGCTCTCGACTGTTAAATTGTGGAAGCATTCTTGAGTTTTGCAAGGAATCACTCTAGTTGTGGTGAAATTTTGTCGAAAGTAGCGTTATATGAATATTCCGGTTGGGGTCTTAAGAATTGGCAGCCGGGACTTGTCTCTTGTGGCTCATTGTATAATCTTCATATGACAGTTAGAGTGCTCTGTAGCTTTAGTGTCGTACACTTTTTAGAGTACTCATAACGTTCGGATAAAATCCGAACTTTTCGCATTTATTTTGTTATTTACTTAAGCTATTCTCATATATTATTCAGATCGAAAACTGTGTTATGAGCATCACGAATGCATCCCATGTGGTTTTAAGTGAAGACTTTGCTTGATCTTCTTTGAACACTAGAAAAAAACGGCGCTACAAAAAAATCTTATAAGAGTTTTTCAAATTGCAACGGATAATAAACCCTTTGAAAACGTATCGGCCTGTCCACGTAACTGCGTACTTCAGTGGGCGAATTTGACCAACGTCATTAAGTGAAACTAACATCACTATCGTGTAGAGCAATGTCGAAATAACTAGAAGTCCGTGTTTTATTTTTGTGACTGTATATTTTTGCGTGAAAGTCAATCATGCAAACAGTACGAGTCTCAAAAGTGAAGAATGGTACGAGTTTTAACCTATTATGATATTGAAATTTCGCTACGGACGAATATTTCTTTTTCGAAACTTTTTACATGAACTAATACTACGTTCGACCGAGTATGTAACTATGAAAAGATACCTGCGATTCGTCATTTCTTTTAAAAATTACCTATGTTTGTAAACCTAGTACATTGATAATGGGGATTCCGTCACGAAATGTATCAATAATTCATTTTTAGCGAAATCTGAGTTGTTTTCTTTTCACAAAACTAGTACCCTAAATACACTTTTCCACACTCTATCTATTGCTATGATTAATAGCTTTTCGAAACGTCTTATGAGGTTACAAATTACGTGACGGAATCACCATCAAATGATCTAGTTTACATAAAGAAAAATGAGTAGACGATTTTANTCCGTCACGAAATGTATCAATAATTCATTTTTAGCGAAATCTGAGTTGTTTTCTTTTCACAAAACTAGTACCCTAAATACACTTTTCCACACTCTATCTATTGCTATGATTAATAGCTTTTCGAAACGTCTTATGAGGTTACAAATTACGTGACGGAATCACCATCAAATGATCTAGTTTACATAAAGAAAAATGAGTAGACGATTTTATTCTCGAAAACTTGGTTCAAAATGAATTTTGACTGTAGCAAAGTGTTTTGTTAGACTAATTTTTGTTTTAAAAGCTTTCTTTAGAACGATCTGTACTGTTATCAGATATTCGTCAATAGGTATGTATTCATATATTGGGTGAGCAAGAAGCTCGCGCTCACCTCCATAAATCAAACTTCACGCAAGTGACCGCGATCGTTTTGCTCAATCTAATAGAACAAGAACATGTAACCTTTCATGCTCTACAACTTTCACAGAGAAATGATCACAAGAAAAAGTGGCATCAGGGCCGTTTTTGCCTAAAACTGAAGGAATATGCATGTTTCGACTGGTTTCAAGAAGATTTTTATGAGATTAACCAATCATTCGATCGAAAAGAATGACATATTTGGAATCAGCACAAAAAACTGAGTTGATCTACAAAATTCTCAAAGTTCTCTGCGGATTTCATCTTCCCTCAAAAACTTCGCCGTGGTTCCTCTCAGGCATGTGTTCAAAAATGAAAGTCCTCATAGGCTTTTGAAAACTGTAGATCAACTCAGTTTTTTGTGCTGATTTCAAATATTTTATTCTTTTCGATCGAATGATTGGTTAATCTCATAAAAATCTTCTTGGAACTAGTAGAAATATGCATATTCCTTCAGTCTTAGCCAAAAACGACCCTGATGCCACTTTTTCCCGAGATTATTTTTATGCGAAAGTTCTAGACCATGAAAGGTTACATGTTCTTGATCTACTAGACTGGGCAAAACTAGTGGCGGCGCCAGGGGTGGGCTAGAGTGGGCTCAGCCCACCCTAAAGGTATCTGAGCCCACCCTGAGTTTTCCTGAAAACCAGCGATAAATAGACTCTAGGGTGGGCTCAAATAGCCTGAGCCCACCCTAGTCTGGGTTAAGACGGGCTAAGCCCACCCTAGTGAGAATTCCTGGCGCCGCCGCTAAGCAAAACGTTCGTGGTCGCTTGTACAAATTTNTTGATCAAATGAAATTGAATAAAATTGAATTTGATCATTTGGTTTTAATTGACCAATTTTCCAAAGATCTGCTTGAATAATTGTAAATGGACAAACAAAACCACCTAAACTTGGTCCATCTTGAGTTAAAATGACAGGTGAATCACCAGTAAAATTGATACTTCCAATAGCATATTGACAATCGTGAATATTTGAAGGATGAAGACCTGCATCACCACCTGATTGAGGGTGGGTGAGGGTGAGGGTGTGGGTGAGTTCAGAATATAGCCTAACCGACACCTTCAAGATAGTTCTCCATAGGTCTTTATAGAATCTCAATGGATCTTCTACGTACTACTAATAAATAAGATATATAAGAAAACATGATTAATGCACAATACAATACTTTTGAAGTCGATCCTTGTGGATACACCCAAGTATGTGTTCCTTTATTAATGTCCTTAATCTTGCTCAAAATTTTATTAGTTCTCTTCAATCCGGAGCTTCGGTTATAATGGAAAAGTGCACTACTATTCTGTTTTTCTCGCAGTTTTGACACGCTATTCTTATTCAAACGCAGCAACTAGCATTGACAAATCCTCGAGGACAAATGTTCTCAAAATTTTCGTACTTAAAAGTCTCCAAATACTCGCACTTCATGGTACTTGAAGTGCTTATAATAGTAGCATAAATTATTTATACTTAGATAATTTTCATCAGCCTCGTTCACCCGTGTAGTAGACGTCACATTTTTATAACTTTGATTTGTATAATAAATAGTATACCTTTAAGGACAAACAGATAAAAGATATTATTAAAATAATTTTAATATTCCAACTAGTTGGAACAATGAAATATATTTTTCACGTTGTTCTAATTTAGTTCAAACTCACTGACTAAGTGTTAAGAACGAAAACTAAATATCAAGTAAACTTTTATTGAAAATGAAAACTTGAGCTTTTCTCCAATATGCATCAACTCTAAAAGTGATTAGATGTGTCAAATATGTCCTCACCTGATGGAGAACAAGGATAATTCTGAAAACTGTGTGATTTTTCTTTAGTCGTTTGCACCATGTGTAAATACCACTGAAACGGACACATAGTTTATAGAGAGTTTCAGGAGCAACCTTTTGCTGAAAAATATTTTGCTTTGGTAATGAAATCAACATAAAAAATATGCAAACACTAAAAGTACTTTTTCTTATAGTCTATTTGCTATATCCTCCTATATGCTAATCGTAGCCTTTTCTGAGAAAACGTGAGAGTGTGACTTTGACAAAGCCTAGGCGAATTAATTTAATTTCACAAAGAAGTAATAGCCTATTTTAAATCGATGGAGCCATGCTATGGTTTGCAAAATGCGAATAAAACGAAAATGTCTCTAAAATTGTTCTTGGTTTGACCTGAGATTTTGCTCTGTTGGTTCATTCTCAGGAATTTCATAGAAGCCATGTTCCTATTTTGTTCGAAACTCATCTTCGTCCAGATTTGTAGATGTATACACTTCTAAATATAGTTTTATTCATTTAACTCTAAAAGAAGTAAAAGAAAATTTCAGTTTATGCACATAATTAAATACAATGCACAAAAGTCTGATGTTAAACGTGTTTTTCATCATTTTGATATAATCCATTCTAACGAACTATAGACATAAGTTCAAATAGATGATCATGTCGTTCGAGTTTTTGTTCATAACTGCCAAGTCAATTTTTCCATCTCTGTTGAAATCAGCCACTTTTGCAGCACTCGGTGCGACATGTGTCGAATACGTTTTTCGAAACGAAAACCCAGCATTTCCATCACCAAAAAGAATGATAATATTATTGGCACCTTGATTGATGACTGTTATGTCCATATAACCATCACGATTGAAGTCATTTGCTATCAAAATATTCGGTTGTTTACCAACTTTGATGGCTACTGCTGTCTGAAACTTTCCATTTCCAATACCATAAAGAACACTGATAGAATTTTCACCTAAGTTAGCCACTATCAAATCCCAGATGTTGTCTCGATTTAAATCAGCTATTACAATATAGTTCGGGTTACCTCCAGTTTTATACATGGTCTGATTGAGGAAAGTTCCACTTCCATTAGCCAATAGAACACTAATATTATTTCCATAATAGTTGGTGACTGCCAAATCCACTTGATTGTCACTGTTAAAATGACCTGATACCATTGAAACTGGTTGATTTCCAACTGGAAAGCTTTTTGCATCTTGAAAAGTACCATTCCCATAGCCGAGCATTGTAGTGATAGTATTGTTTTCGTAATTCGTGAGTGCAAGATCCAATACTGAATCATTGTTGAAGTCGACTGTTATTAAGAACTTCGCCATCATTGGAATAGTGCGTGTTAATTGATGTGGAAATTTTCCACTTTGATCACCAAGCAATACGCTGATAGTACTGTCATTATTAGTTACAACAACATCCAATATGCTGTCCTTATTGAAATAACCTGATACCATGTAAAGTGATGTTTTATCAGTTGAAGAAGGTATTCGACCAGTGAACGTTCCGTCTCCATTTCCTAATAGAATCACGTTACTTGTATCGGCAAAACATGCTATTACGAGATCCAAATTATTATCACCATCGATATAATCTGCTGTGACGGCTCTCGGTTCTGAGCCAGTAGCATATTTAATTTGGGGATGAAACGAACCATTTCCATAGGCGATAAGTACACTGATGGTATTCTCACCGAAGTTAGTAACTGCCATATCCATCCATGTGTCGTTGTTGAAATCTGCAGCTACCACAGCACTTGCAGTAGCTCCAGTTGCATATGACATTATATCTGGAAAAGTTCCATCTCCCTTACCGAGCAGTATACTCACCGTTGCTGCGTTCCAATTGGGTATGACAAGATCAATATTGCCATCATTATTGAAATCAGCCGATCTAATAGAATTAGGTTGGTTTGAGGCAGAATACGTCACCTGAGGTTGAAAGGTGCCATTACCTATACCGATTAGTATACTGACGTCGGCGCTCTCAAAATTCGAAACTGCTAAATCCAATATTTTGTCATTATCAAAATCAGCTGTAATAACATTATCCGGCCAAGTGCCAACATCAAGTATCTCTTGATCAACAAAAGTTCCATTTCCATTTCCCAAACATATGTCAATAGTGCCTTCATCTTGATTAACCACTATTATATCAATTATATGGTCTCCATTGAGATCGCCTGATGTCAATGATCGTGGACGAGCACCAACAGCATAAACCTGTTGAGTTGCGAAAGAACCATCTCCAATACCAAGTAAGACACTTAGCGTGTTATCATCGATATTAACTGTCATTACATCAAGATTACCGTCATTGTTGACATCAGCTGATATAAGACAAGTTGCGCCGTGATCAACTGTAAATTGCGTCTGAATTCCAAAAGATCCATCACCATTGCCGATTAATACACTAATAGTGTTATCACCTACATTAGCAACAGCAAGATCAGTCTTGTTGTCTTTATTAAAATCAGCTGATATCACACCAGATGGTCCGGAACTGGTCTCAAACGTGATTTCAGCTGTAAACGTTCCATTACGACTACCAAATAAGAGATAGATGTTCGGACTTCCTGAAGTGAGCACTCCAACGTCAGTTTTATTATCATTGTTAAAATCACCAGTGACCATCGAAACTGGTGAAGTTCCAACTGTAAAACCTGATGGTTCAGAGTATGGATCCGTGCAGACATATGCTGAAAATGAATTATTCAAATTTATTCAATTCATCATATAATTTATTGTGCAAAACTACTGAGTATCACTTTGCTGACAAGTTAAAACAAATGTCGACAGATCTTACCTGAAGTTTTGTTTGTGGTTCTTAAGCCAAGCACTACACCTACAATGGTTCCTATCAATGCCATGAGTATAAGTGAACATATCGGGAATATGACTTTCTTCTTGCGATACCAAGGTCGTCTACAAAATATGCAACAAACCATTTATAAGTTGACAAAATGAGACTTACTCAATCTTTGGAAAGAGATTGGCACCTAAACATGAAATTAGTTATCTTTTGACAGAAATATTGACAATACCTTCGAAAGGAAGTTCCAGTAAAGTTTCTTCAGGTATGACTTGTTTCAAATGAACAATATGAAGATCAGTTGCTGGACTAAACAATGATTGAACAATCATATGTGTACCAGGTAGAAGAAGTATTTCTTCTTCAGTAACAAAATGTGAATGAGCACGTATTGTTCGACCATTGATGGCTTCGACAGAAAACAATGTTCGAGCACCTTCATTGCCCAAATACATATTATTTTCTAATACAGATAGCTCAGTTGTACATGATGAAAATGCCCACCATGTTACTGGTGTACCAGGAGGAAACTCTGCGCTTAGATTTTTCGTCACACCTCTCCACACAGTTAAGGGTGGAACACATGGTAATTTGGCAAGAGCAGTGAGAAAAAGTTTCATGTATTTGAAATAAGGTTGAAGTTCAGAACGAGGACATGATTTTAATGTATAATTGAGCATTGAATAAAGACTACGATGAGGTGCTGCCCATTCGATTGAATACAAACGAATTGCTGCACTCTCATCAACTGTTAAATTATCTGATGGCTCTTTTGGTGTTTCTTCAAGTGCCATTTGAATATAGAACGATAGATTACGAAGAATATCATCCAGTGGAGCACACGCTTCTGCAAGTGGTAATAGAGGCTCATTGGCGTAGTCGATCAGAGGTTCCAAATCTATTGGTGGAGGATTGTCAACTTTAGTCAGTGTTGGATTTGATTCTTTTAGGTCAAGTTCAGCGTCTCTTTCGTTAGTAAGTGACGAATCTTTCAATGTTTTCTCATCCATATCTACTGTGAAGTTGTTGGACTCCATTTCGCGAAGTGTCGCAGAGAACATGTTGTCATTCGTTTGAACACGAACATTTTTTGTTTTTGTTCGTGGTTCACGAAAATTTGTTGGATTGTAATTCTGTCGAATATCGAAGAATAGACTGTTCTCATATGAATTTGGTCCTAATGAAGCTTGAATGCGAACATTCCTCGTGGATAAATTCTTCTTTTTATAGTCATCCATTAATTATTACTGTCTGACTAAAAGTGTCGATGTGATTTGTCTAGACTATGACATTATATAGAAAACATTGTATGTCGTATACTTACAATGACAAATTTCTACTGAAATGTATAAATCGTTTTACGTATTTTGTAAGTTCACTTATGAAACATAATCAACGAGTTCGACGACCTTTTTTGTTAGCAAATATTTGATTAAAATGAATAAATTGACGACATCGTTTCACCCTTGTTTTTGTGAGCCAATGATGCATGAATATTTTCTCATCAATATCACGCCTCATACCGTTATATATTTCTATTTTGCTTATATACAAAAAAAAAACAAATAACACTTGTCAAAACAAAGGAATCGATTAAAATGATTTTTTTTTTGAAAAGCAAATCTTTCAGATACAGACGTACTCAACAATACTCGAAACATCTTATAATAATCAATAGAAATACGTCACTATTTTAATCGTTTGTTTTATAGAATGAAACGCTGAAGTCAATAATTACCATAACTATTATACACGTATAGACATGTTGTAATTAACGAGTTACACTGTCTGGCCGGTTAACATATACAAACGTGTAGCTCATGAAACCTTTGCTTCAATTAATAATTGGCTTGTTTTTCTGTTTTATTTTATTAATCATGCAGTCTAAGAGGCAATCTGGGCTGAAGAAGAAAATCTTTTTCACATGTTACACTCAGAATAAAAAATCATGTTTGATACTTTCAATTAAAAAGAACAATATCGATGATTTTCATTTTGATTCGAAATCAGTTCGAATGTGAGGAAAGGTCAAATAAGATTGCACTGATCTTTTGAGGAAACACATTGATGTGTTCGTTTAGCATTATTGACTGTAATTAAGATACGCGTATTTCGATATTATCACAGCGTTTCACGTTGATTAGTTCTTTCTTTCCCATGCATGGGTGATGAGTGTCATTTATAGCGTAGACGAAATCTACAGGTGCAACCTATAATCATCAAAGGAAACAAAAGACAAAAATTTCCTCTCTGCACTCATGGATTTACATACAAATTAAAACACATGTGTTTAGGATGTCATCAGATGTTGAGGATATGCGTATGTCTATCTACATTCTCGCCTTTAACATCAGAATGACGAACTGAGAAAGAAAAATTCGTTCTCATTCGCACCTCCTGTGTATAGATATTTGTATCTCGACATCCGGGACAAATATCACGAGAGTATATGTCTTACTTCTCGATCACTCGACATACCGATAAAAGATCTAAGCTCTTTCCGTTATTCTTGTATTTGTTGATACTACATTGACGTATAGTTTGTAATTATTTGCTTATCAGTTGCATAGAACGGGAAAAAAATTACAAGCCATGTCAACAAAAATGATGTGTTGAGCATTTAAAAACGTGTGAGCTGCTGCGCCACCTATAAGCATAAAAAGACACTTGAAATTTTGCAGTAATCGTCGCTGAATAAGGTATTATCAGCTTACGTTTGTATAAGCTATAGAATCATAAAACAAGAAAGAAAGGAAAGCCAATTTCTTGAAAAACTTTTTTGTTTTCTCTCTCTATATAATGTCACTCTGTGAAGAATTTTACAATTCACACGGAGAAATGAAGCGAAATCAAAGATATTTCCAATACTTTCCTCTATTTCATTCGTTGAATGAAGAGTTTATTCTCAGTGGACGACTTGCATTTTATTTTATATTATAATTACCATATCTTACCGATTGAAATCGTAATAATTTGCGGTGAAAAAGTTATTACCCATTATGTTGTTGTCAATCGAAATGAACAAGAAATGAAATGAAATCAACTCCATGTGCTCGATAAAATTTTTACTGATGAAAGTGAACTTCTCCTGCATACTATTGAGGGTATTATAGCTCTTAAAATATGATAATAGAGTGAATGATCTCGTAATCATTTCTAGTTTCTCCTTGATCTATACATCTACATTCTCAATAAACGGCTTAATAGTAACTATAAAATGGTGTTGTTAAAACATTGATTGATTGTTTTTGGCGATAATACAGTCGTTATTTTGAGTTTGAGGTATACTATTACGATCTTTGTTGTTCTTTTCTGCAGATTTGTTATGTACGACGTTTAGGAGACTTCACTATGGGTCATGCTATATGGTGTTGGAATTCAGCTCGGAATTCATGGTTAACTATGGCAACGAAAGAATTCAATGCAGTATGGAAAACTTATTCTGATATTCAATGCAATATCATTAAAGAAGCATTTTACACTGGACAAGATCAGGTGACCGTCGACGATTATATTATCGACTTGAGGCAGTTCTTACAAATTAACATTGATGATGAGTCTAAACAGTGACTTATTCAACGACTAGTTGGAAGTCATAGTGAATATTGCTTAAGAACAGAAAGATGTTTCTTTCCTGAAACATCCGTAGAACTGTTTAGTGGGGAAAGCTAAACCAGTTCAACATTTATCGATAAATGGCGCTTCTCATTTGATAAAAATGGTATCAGAAGTATAGTTATTGCAGCAGCACAAGGAATACTCGAAGAAAGACGAAAAATCAGTCAAATCTCTGAAGCGAAATGGATGAGCGACCAGTTGAGAAACACGCTGATAATAAACAAAGATAATGAAAAGTATTTTGATCTACCTCGATTTCTATGGAATAGAGGCCAAGATTGCTTCGTATTGTACAGTAAAGAAAGTTTCCTGTACAAACTCATCAATGAAGCTATACGAGAGCAGGACTGGATCAAAATTCCAACATTGGGACCGTTGTGTTTTCTGTTGAACTCATTCTTCTTGCACCAAGTCGAAATGCAATGTCCAACACGATATTGAGAGTTGGTTTACCGGGGTGCAAATCTCTCATCGAATGATATCAATTTTTATCGCACTCATCAAGGATCATACAAGAAGTGGCTTGCTTTCACTTCGACGAGTCGAAATCGACTCATGGCGGAAGCATTTGGTAACATTTTGTTTATTATTGATATTAGACAAAATTATTATAAGAAATATTTTGCTGGCATTGATGTTACCGACGTATCTCGCACTATACAAGTGAAGAAGAGACTGTACTAGCTGCTGGTACTCCATTTAAAATTAACGATGTTCAATATTGTGATTATACAGAGAAATGTATACTTTATCTCGAGACTGGAACACCCGAATGAGAGATCGTGGAGCAGAGACATTTCCATAAGATCGGTTTTCGTTCGTACGAAAAGTTCCATTTGTTTCACAACTTGTTCTCTACGCGTTAAGAAATCCTTGATGACTTTATAAAATGTCCGTTCAAATATTACGTCTCAAAAGTTATTGCTTTCTAATAGGTTCAATGTATTTGTCGCCGTGCATTGGATGACTTCTAGTAGCTAATATTCGTTATTGATAATTAAGAGAAACCGTGGAGAAAGTTATGAAAGAAGAACTCAACTCGTAAACTTATGGTTCGCAAGTTTTTGCGATTTTCCCTCCAAAGACCAAACGAACTACTTCAGAAGTGCAATCAGATAGAAAAGAATGTGAGGCGAAAGCAAGATTATTCATTATATTCAGATTCGTCCTTAATATGGCTTACAAATACAGGTTAACAGCGTCCCTTACAGTCTCACTTCCGATCCGATCAAAACTATTTTCTACTAATAAAACATTACCTGTTTTATACTGTAACTATAATCGATACGAATATTTCGATGTTGTCACAGTGTTTGATGACGAATATTATTCATGACGTAGACACAACCTACAAGTGTGGCCTACGCATTTGTGCAGCTGTTTGCTCTTAACTAAAATAAGAATCGGATTGATGACACATCAGTCATAAGAAAAAAAAACATTCTCTTTGCACTTTTGGTTATATACAAATCAAACGCACGTACTGATGATATTACTATCTTGAAGACGTGTGTACGTCATATGCTTACCAATCTCCGTACTCCTCACCGTTCTCAAGTCTTGGTGTGCCTATTTTCATTCGTATCTCCCATGGGAGTGACAAATCATAGGAGAGAAAGATTCTTTCCCACTCACACCTCTACTTCGCCTCCACAACATGGGAGATATCACTCACTCATCAACAGCATGTATATATACCTTCCACGTCAACATCCAGCTCAAATATCATTCGTTGATTTTCATTCCATCGAACATTTCAACAATCGATAAATACAATGAAATACTTCTGTATTTTCTTGGTTTTCATGCTTGCTGTTTCTTGCACATTGAGCCTTATGGGTGATGTTCCACATTATCCATGGCGTAATTGTCAATGTCAACGAGGAGGAGAGCGAGGTGGACATTGCCATTGTCCAGACAATGCAAGGATGCCCAACACTTATTGTCGATATGGTGGAAATCATTGGATTTGTTTTCCTTTTGGTCGTCGTCGTCGTTCAGTTTCTTCGGAAGAAACTCATGAACACAATTATCAATAAACACTTTTCACTCTCTGTTTCTTTCTTTTTATTTTCAAGATGGTGTATATTTGTGAAAGATTGTATCGAAAAATAAATAAACATGATTTATATATGCATTTCAAGTTTTGTTTTACTTTAGAATGAAGGTAAAGGCTAAGATAATAAGAAATATGAGGTGTCTGAAATTGCACGTACATAGAATTAATCATTGAAAAACGAGAGCTCCATTTTTGAAATTTCCTTTCGACGTTTTATATCGAAGAAATTTATTTTTGTTTTCAACGTTTCTGGTCCCAAGGTAAAATAGCTCTCATAGGTTGTTGAGGACGATTTGTAGGTTGTACTTGTTCTTACTACTGGCTGTGTTGTACCGTTTGAAGCGGGTGAGGGTGAGGGTTTGGTGAAAACTTTCTATGATTGGAACGGATAGAACTCATCAAGATGTTTCTTGGTCTCGCCTACAGGTGAATATTTTTAGAGAATAGTCGAATCCTAATCCAAGGTATCTTGCGCACAATCGATGCACTTTCTCGCCACTTAACTGCCCTAAAGCCTCTTTGGACAATAGCGAAATGCCAGTATTTCTCTCTACACGCTCATATTCTTAAAGCCAACATCTTTGTTCTTTCCTACTGAACAAACATATGTTCTTAAAGCGAACAGCAAGGTTTGAATAACAATTGATAAGAAAGAAAATCGTTATATATGATTTTATTCGATCGCAACGTGGTTGACACAGACGACTTTGACATTCGCCGAAAGCTCGAAATTTTCTTGGTAACGATGCATGCCTGTGGAGAAATAAATATGCTTTCTGTTTGTACAACCTATGGTGCAGAGGCAGCGCGATACTTAAAAGGTTGCTTTCAATCATATTCTGTATATTTAAAAGAAGTGTTTACGAAGCACGATTACTTTTTTCTGTTTTTTTACTTTTCAAACATACAGCCAAAAAGATGTTCGGAACTCGTCAGAAAGCTGAGAACAATCCACATGGATCTTCTGCTGAATATCGCAAAACAGCGTTAGTAATCGGTAACAGTCTTTATCATAGAAATTCCAAATTAAATAATACAGTGAACGATGCAAATGGAATGTGTGACGCTCTACAATCGGTTGGTTTCAAAGTGTCGAAAGGACTCGATCTGACATACAGTCAGATGCAGTCATACATAAATAAGTTTATTGATGATATTCAACCAAACGATTTGGTTTTGTTTTATTTTTCTGGTCATGGGACACAGTGGGAAGTAGGACAAAAACCTTTTCTATGGTAACAAACACGTATTAAACGATGATACCATTCTCTTTCATCTAGGATCAGAACTTTTTGGTAGCTTGTGATGATGAAAATTTGACAAAAGAAAATATCACTCGTTATGCCATCAATGCTCAAGATGTTCTCAAACACATGACCAGCTGCAAGCCATTTGCGAGTATTTTCATCCTCGATTGTTGTCGTACTTATTATCTGCGTAGTTCAGCTCTGAGTCGTGGTAATGGCTCAGAAACACATGGTCTTGCACCGATGCATGGAGATGGAAATACATTCATCTGTTTTGCATGTGCACCGAATCAAACATCATCGGATGGGAATAGAATCGATAAACATGGCACCTTTACTAAACATCTCCTTCGTCATATTACAAAACCAAATGAACAACTACAAGACTTGATGATCGATGTCAACCGTGATGTTATTAGAGAAACAGATGGGGCTCAAAAACCTTGGCAACATATGTCACTCACTCATAGAGATATCTATCTTGCTCATCGTGCTGATGGAAATCACAATGTTGTGGCGAATGAAGATCAGTGTGAGTATCTCAATACACTGATGGTAATACTCATGTTTACTTTACTAATGTTTTAAGCTGTGAACCATCATCATGGATCATCTGTGGCTCCATTCGATTCATTCTTTTCGAATCCGATGCAAGATGTTTTCTCAGAACCTAATGTTCATGTGAAGAATTCTTTTCATTACCATTGTAGTACGTATAGATTTTCAAGAGCGCAAGTATATACTTTCAGTTCGCATTTGTTTAGGTGGTTTCAGTAGTGATTCTGGTCCATTTCATCGTGAGTTCCATGGAGAATCGAACGGTAGGAATTCATTATTATTTAATACTCCTCGTTCATTTGATTTTCATGTCTGATTAGGTGGTAATTTTGATTCTTTCATCAAGCAGGCAGAAAGAGATTCAGGCTACGATCTGAATGGCGATGGAAAAATCGGATGAACAACTAGTTGAATAATGACAATGAACTATTCTGAAAAAAAGGACATAGAATGAGGGTGTGAGAGAGCGTGGGTAAGGACGGAATGTAGAGAATAAAATCATACGAACACCCACAGGGTTTGTTCGCATAAGGTGTATTGAAAAGTTGTACCTGTTGTGTCTTGTTTGAATTGCTGATCCGCTCAACCGCTGTGCCAGTCAAAACCTTACAATGGATCAAGATTAAGTTTTGTAATTTTGAAGGCGAGGGCGCGGGTGAGGGTAAGTGACAAGTTCCTCAATTCAGACCCTGACCCTTGTCCCTCATATTATTGAAATTACCGAAACTATCTCGAAATTTCTTGATTTTCCTTCGTCTCTTCACCCTGCCCTTCGCTCTTGCCTATTATCCATGATGAATTACATGTTATAGAACTTTCGGAAATTGCGGAAATTTCTTTTTTCGGAAATCTGAGCATACCTCTTCTTCTCAGATTGTTTTGCTTCCAAATTTGATGACGGATTGCTTCTCGAGAATCGGGAAGACAAAGCTCGTATTTGAACAGATACTGATGTATGAATAATAAATGATGCCGATGATAAGAACGCCTGACGTGAAAAGTATCGACAATAAAAAGAACTTTACGTACTCTATTCAGTTTCTTAATGACGCACGAGAGAATTTTCGAAAAGAAACGATTTAATAGCAACTGTTACTGTTAGATCAAAGCGCAAAGTTTATTTAACATGAATTTTTATCGTGTGCAACGAATGTCAACGTTCCCAGTGATTAACAAACAGTTTTTTTCCATCAAGTATAGTTCGTCGATTAATATTTACAACGTTCAAATGCATCGAAGAAAGATTCAGACGCAAACAATCAATGCTTCGTTCACTTTACATTTCTATTTCTATATGGAACGTGAATTTAGCACGATTTTGATACGCTCTGTTTTATCCAATAGACATTCGATGGCCAAAAACTGAGTGCATCGACCTCTTGAAAAACTTTATACATATGAGCAGTTGGAATATAATTCCGTTGGAGAAAAANACACATACAAGCAGTTGGAATATAATTCCGTCGGAGAAAAAAACTTAAAATAAATTTTAAACGAGATCCATATCGCTCTTTGCCGCTAATATCCCATTCCATAAGTACAATTGGAATGTTCATGTAATCAAAAACGCCACTTCCTGTGAGACATACATACATCTCTGACCATTGAATATCCATTTTCATGATTGCATGTCGAATTTGTTTGCCTTTCAGTATTGGAAGGATATCATCGAATTGAATCGTTTTTACTAAATAAGTTCCATTGATTTCCCTGGGATTGGCAATGAGATCAAGTTCTTGAGAACCGATATTATTTGGATCAGGTTTTAACGGTAAGTCTACACCGGATTGCGTGTAAATAGCATTACCAATAAGTGTTACATGATTTTGAACGTTTTCAATTTGAATTGCTCGACGAATTCGATCGAGACTGGGTTTAAAACATTCGATGGATATCACTTGTCTTCCAAGTGAAGCAACAAACATCGTGTATGCGCCAACGTTTGCTCCGATATCAATGAAATTCATCTGAGGATTATCAATGAGATATTGAAAAAGTTTTGTCAGATGTTCTTCTTCCCAGATTTTTTCCTTCCGAATTTGATTACTCACTGCATCGCGAGAATCGTGTAAACAAATTGTCGTTTGAATCCTATTGAGCAATATTTTCGTTTTAGTACACGTGATACTTTCCTTTGTTTCGAAGCGCAAATCAACAAGATTGACATTGTGAGAAAAATTTTCGATTTCGCTTGAAATCAAGACTGGCACGTAATTGTTCGATGTGGAGATTATATTTATGATAATAACGAACATGGATAGAAATACCAATAAAAGACATTTTCGTCGGGAATGATATTGCATTCCGATGCTTTCTTTTCCGTTGAAGAATTCAAAAAAGAACAATCATTTCGTCAACCTTTTGTTTGGATTATTTGAAGTGAATTCGCCCCTTTTCCTACCTAACGTTGATTTTTTTAAAGACATAAACAGAATTCCGTCGACCTTGCCAAGTATTATGCTTTCTCTTCTTTCACTCTCAAACAATAATAAAACGTTTACAATTCGCCTTCGTTCCCTCATGACATTCAAATAATCGACAGCAACTTTTCTTTTCGTAAAGATGTGAATGTGACTTAGTAACGATCATACATAAACTAAAAATGGTCTATATTCACAATTTCGTGACTCCATAGTGTTTTTGATAAGGTCCACGTCGATATGGGTATCTACACTGTCTTAATAGTGAAAATCGAATTACTCATAGGTTTTATTTCTTAGATAGTAAGAATGTATAAGGGGAAAATAAGAAAATGCTCTGATTTGTAGAAGAACGATGGTTCATTTTTTATCATCTTTGTATGGACTTGTTTCACTCTTATGTGCTTCATATCGTTCTCGATCGTATTCGCCGGTACCATCTTTTGCTTCGTCTATATATTCGCTTGTTTTATGCCACTGAGGGCTGCGTTTTGCATGAATTTTTCGTTCGAATTTGTTGCTTGGATCTATAACGCTTAATAGAATTCCTAGTTGCAATAAGCGCCAAGTGACAACAGTCAACGAATTTATGAAAATGAAACTTCGAATAAACTGTTGCTTGATGCCTCACTCTATTTATAGACGCTATACTTCCTTGGGAAAAACCAAGTTCTATACCTATATGACCTACTTATCTGCGCAGGAGAAAAAGTAGTTGAAAAACTGTAAAACTCGCATTCCTCTACAACATTATTCTTGTATGCTGAGATAAGTTGACCCATTTATTTTCGCCTGTTCTTTTCTTTATTAGGCCTAATAGTTACTCACGAGTGTCTTGTGTGAAAAACTTAGTAAATAGGAATGATAAGAATTCCAACATATCGTTTCTTCCGGAAATATGATGTTAATAGATTTATTTTCATTATACTTATATTTGTTGTGAGATTTGTTTGTACTGACTTCTAGAATCACAATATGGATACTTGCCAATTTACGTACATTAACAATGCAGACATGATTAGAACTGCTCGAGGTGTCGAACAATCATGGGAAGTTCTATGCGAACGACTCAATCGAACAGGTCCTGGCTTACCAGATGGCACCCATTATCTCACTCTAAGCTATGAGGGCCCAGAGTTATTTGCTGTGGATAAAAGTGGCGAGACCATTAATGTCTATTATCATGATTTGGGTAGATGGTGTCGTTACTTAACTGCGCGAGACATCTATTTTGGAACGATGCCGGATACGGTTCCAGGACAAGCGTTGGTTAGAGCCACGTCACCTGATTGACTTCATAATAGCTTCACATGTTTAATATAAATCAAACAGCCGCACACGGTACAGCTTTACTTTTAATCTTGACATTTTGTTTCTTATCTTGTCGTGTAATGGCGAGTATTCGAAGTTGAATAAGTCATTTTTATGATGTTTTTTTATTATATCATTCATTTCTAGATTATGTTTTTAATACAAATAAATCTTTAGATGAAATTGAAGTATAAGTATCGATTCGTACGTAAAGGTAATTGTGAGGAACAGACTTCATCTTCCTGAAAAACGTGTAACACTTAGATTTATTCATTGTTTCTTTTATATATTTTAGTATAATACAATCATTTTCGACTTCTTCCAAAGAAATAGATAACGATCGAAAGTTTGAACTGAACGATAACAATGTCATTGACTATGTCGATTCAGAAAACGGGACTAGTGGCAGTATATCTATTAGATTCGTCTTGTTCTTGTGACGAGCAAGTGGTGTCATTGAAGAAAAATATTCGGTACATAATTGATTACGATAAAACGTTCAATACCGTTGAACCATGTGAAGAGTTCGTACGTTCTGTTCGATATGAACGAATCTTTCTAATTGTTACTCCTATACTATTAACACGTGTTTTCCAAGAAAATATCCATGAAATTCGTCATGTTCAAGAAATTTTTATTTTCGATCCGCTCAAAACAATCACCTGCATCAATAGTATCAAGTGCTTATCGTATAAAGTGAATCTACGTGCTCCTCGTATGGAGTCTTCGACTAAATATTGTCTATTTCTTGTTTAGATTCAAGATGTTTTCAGTTCACCAAATGAGTTAGTACAATGTCTATGGGCAAGTGTCAAAGAATGTGCGAATAAATCAGACATTCGTCTTTCTTCATTAGCAAGCTGTTCGATTGATGCGACAACGAATGTGATTAACAATTTTGCTGACCTGTCGGAATATTGGTATCCGTTGTTTATCGATTTTCTCATGGCAGATTCAGCGATGGCTGATGACAGTACTCGTTTTATTCAGCAAAGTCGTTTGCACTTCTCTCGAAATCCTGGCACTCTGAAACTAATTGACGATTTCGAGAAAAACCATTCTTCTACCTTCGCACTCTCGTATTACACACGCGATGGTTTTATCTACCGTGTTGTTAATCGAGCACTTCGCCGGCAAACTATTGAAGGTACGTTAGACCTTCGCTTTTTTCTTCGTAAAGTTCACAAAGAATTGCAATCTGCTTATGCTTGGTTTGAATCCTATTACACCGTTGGAGAATGGATGACCTTCTTCCGCGGCCAACGCATGTCCGCCGATGAACTAAATAAACTAAAGAAAAAATATCACGACGGCACGTTGATTACGACAAACAGCTACTTTTCAACCAGTCTGGCCCGTGAAATAGCTCTTGTGTTTGCTGGTGCACCAAGAACAGACGCCATACCGATCCTTTTTGAAATTCGAGCACAATTCAAAGATCCACAAATCCAACGATTGAAACCATTTGCATATATTGGCCAATTTAGTAACTACGGAGATGGAGAATCGGAAGTTCTCTTTTCTGTTGGTTCGTTTTTTAAAATCGATAATATTGTTTATAATGAGTCTGAAGGTGTCCACCTAGTCCAGATGACATTTATTGACGAGAACGAAGACGAAAAGTTCGTAGTAATCGAAGACTTTCGAGCATTGCGAGCATATCCATCTGAAATCGCATTGATGAAAATTGGTAATTTACTTTCGTATGATCAATCTCAAGGTTTAACTCAAGCAGCAACTTTTTACGAGACTATAATCAATCGAAATTTTTCACCAACTTTCACAGCTGCTTGCCTTACGGGACTTGGCTGGCTTGCCTTGAAAGAAAAGAATGAGGATCTAGCTATCGAAAGGCAACAAAGAGCTTTGGCATTTTATGATGGATTAAATGACGGAACTGACGGCATAGCTTTCCTTCGTATGACAAGTTACAACTGTATCGGATGCGCTTTAAGAATAAAGAAAAAATATGATGAAGCGCTTGAATATTTTATGAAAGCCGATGAACTACCGACGTCGAAAGTACCCATCGATAAGTACGACATGTATGATTTGTATAAAAACGTCGCATCAGTGAATATTGCTTCAATCTACAAATTAACGAATCAAATCGATCGTGCTTGGGAGACATACAAAAAGATCTTGGTATATCAAATGAAATCATCCAGTCGTTTTCATAGTCATACATTTCTGACCATTGCTCAAGCTGGTCTCAGTGAAAAGTGTTTGGTACAGGGTAAAAGACAATATCAGCAGCATTCTCAAACCTGGAAGGCATTTCTCGACCATAGTCTGACGGACATGTCATCGAGCTATCGCCGAAGTATTGTCTCAGGCATTTTTGCGATTGGTTTTGAGTTCGAAACAAACGAACAAACCCGAATGATGGCTATCGATTATTTCAAAAAGATTATCAACATTTCATGTAGATATGTTAATGTCAGTCGGGATGATTATCGTATTGTTTTAAGGTGTTATTTGGAATTATCAGGTTTATATCTAAAAACTCGGAAAAATTATCAAGAGTCAATCAATCAATGTATTCAGGCGTTGGAACTTTGTCGAAACGATGATGTTGAGAACCTTTTCGAATGCTACAAATGTTTAGCCGATACATTTGAAGAACAATATTTAGAACAAATGAATGAGTTGACACCTGATGATATTTGTACAAAATTATGTGAATCGATGTTCAAAAATGAGTCGACGAATATGGAAAAGGAACGATTAAAATTCGTTTTCAATCAGAATGAATTTGCTTTTGGTCGGTATGAAACAGCACTGAACCGAGATCTCTTTGACGAACATGATTGTAAACGTCAGTTTGTGTATTGCTGTTTGAAAATGGCAGCATTAGCTGAACACCTTGCTTCTCGAGAAACGGCTCGTCAATTCCTCATGAAAGCCAATTCACTTATTGAAGATATTTCTGTCCAAGAAATTTGTGCAGATAACTTGGCGTATTTAAATAATGATTTCGATCCGATTATTGCCAGATATCAAGACAAACTCAAAAATCAACAGTCATTCTGCGTTGATGAGAGCATCTTTTGTTATATCGGATATTTATACGGAAAAAAGAACGATCCTGTCGAAGAAGAACAATGGTATCGACGTGCAATCGAACATTTCAAACAGAATAAACACATCTGCAAACATACAGTACCATGTTTTACCGCAGTTGCTCAATTTTACACAAAAGCAGAGAATTTCCTCTCGGTTGTTCGTATTTATGATGATTTGATCCAGCATTTGGTTGCATACAGTCCTTCGTCATTTCTTCGTACATCAATTTTCCCTGTTGTACGAGCACTCATTGAACATTTCGTTGATCGCACCGAATGGAAGATGGTTATCATACTTTTCGAGCATTTGGTTCAAACAATGCTTAAAGAACACGATGATCATCTTGGTGTCGATAAAGAATTCCAAAAGATTCTTGAAATTTGTAAGAATCTCGATAATTCAATCGTGATTGAAACGTATTCATCCTATCTAGAAATCATGTTGCGGTATCGATGCGTATCACATCATCCTTATCTATCTGCGATTGAGCCAGCCTTCCGTCATGCCTTGAGTATCTATAAAGCATGTAATAACACACGACGATTATTATGTACCTACCAAAATTTTCTGGAATTGATTATCAGTACTACGACAAACTTTACCACATTCTTAAATGCCTTTCAACGTCTGGCTCTTGATTTAGAAGCGTCTCAACTCGTAAATGAAGCTCTCGGCATGCATATGCGATTCGCTCGATTTATTTTGACGTGCGATACGAAAGAAACGATACTGAAAGCTGGTTTCATCATTGTACGATATCGATTGCTTACAAAAAACGGAGCTCAGTTCAATATTCATTATCAGCAGACAATAATACAACTGATGAAGTATTATCGGAACATAGTCGAACCACAGTTTATTATTGACGATTATCTAAAGACGGCAAAGAGTTATCTGAAATGTGACGGTTCTGCTACTAGCATCTATGCCAGCATGCTGGAATTCTTCATTTATTATCGACCAGAACATTATATTCAACACTACGAAGCAACTATCAATGATTTGAAAGGACGACCAGCGGAACTGATCGCTTTTGTCAGTACAAAGCGAGTAAAGTATACATCACTTATAGAGAATTTGTTGGAATTGTTGAAGCAACTTGATACGGGGAATGAGACATCGTCTTCAGCCGATCAAATGTCACCAAAATCAAATTTTGAAGATGACGCTCGACTGTGGCTAGAACAGAAAACTCAAGTAGATACCAAAATTCCTTATGAGAAATGCCTGCAATATATTCTTGATTTGCATTCAATCGATGACGAATACTTAGCTATTGCCTATCTACAAATGGGAGATAAGACCAATGCAGTTGCTGTGTTCAGTAAATCTATATATGGAGAACCAGCGCGTAGATACAACGCCAATGCTTGTCGAAGATACCTAAACTATGTATATAATGAAACCTTAAATGATCAAGAACGTATGGGATTTGAACGTGACTATGCCAAACATTTTGTTCTGGGAACTGACTCTACGGATGACCATTACTCGTATGAACTTCTTCCACTTGAAAAATGTTGACTATTTTTTATAAAAAATGTTGTGTTCATCTGTACTTATCCCAGATCCTATTTTATTTCTTTTTCAGATAGGAACAGGTAGATAAATGGACTCTTGCGAGTTTACTTACATCGGTCGAAGTGATTCACAACCAAAACATGCGTTGGGTATTGAACGTTCATGGGATGAACTCAAAGCTGAGTTTGGCCGCAGTGGACCTGGGCTTCCTGGCGCAATTTACTTTAAAACAATCAGTGTCGAAGGACCTACACTCTTTGCTGTTGTAGATGGTAATACGGTACTGTACCATGAGCATGACAAATGGTATCATTACATAACAGCGAAAGATGTCAAGTTTGGTATGTTGAATACGGATGAACGCAATCCAGCGCGAGCAACAATTGACAAGAATTATTTGGATGATAAGAAATGGTCTGTTACTTATAACACCTAAAATGATCATTTTGATTGTAAGTCTATGACAAATAAAACTTGGACAATCGCAGCATTTCTTTCATATTCTTATGTTCTTGAATTTTCAATGTCAAAGTTTCTACAAGTGGGTGCGGATTATAGACTATTGTCTCTTTATCGTCACTTAGACTCTCGCTATAGTTTTGTGAGTATGTGTACAAACCGTTAACTCGGTTCGAATATCAAACATCTTCGAGTTCTTCAAGTTTTCAGCTTTTAACCCCGTAACTAATTGATTGTAAACTATTAAGTAACCGATCACTTACTATCATCCAACGGACTATGAAGTAATCAGTAACTAATTATTAAGTACTACTTAATCATTTAATAACTACGTGATTAAGAATTATTAACCAACTGGTCCTTATGAATCATGTTCATGTTCAGGGTGACTTCGCTCTTGCGTACTGCACCCTCACCCTCAAGATGGATCAAAAACAATGCAGACCTATAAATTCGATTAACATGTTTGATATTCTATTCTTGGTTTTTCAGTCTGTGAAGACTGATGATCGCTCGTGGACTTCGACCAGTATTCATGAGAGCACGATACTGTTGCTTTTGCTATACAATTTAATATTAGGGAAGAAGATGATGCCAAAGTATAAATATGAATATACCGCTATTCATAATGAATATTGACTTATTCTCGGTGTTACGTAGTTACTTTTTCGGTTAGAGTTTCTGTTTCATGTAACACCTTATTGATTAATAATAAAGTCCGAGAGGATATGAGAGGAAAAAATATCGTCCACATCCACCTTCAAACTTTCAATAACAACGAGATCAGGGAGATCTCAGCCTTAGATGAGCGTCATATATTACTTTTTATCAACCTTATTATGGCAAATGAAAATATATTTAACTGATATTTGATGCTTTTCTAAATTTGAACTTATACCCTCATCCATTTACAAAGTACACACGGGCCATAATTCTGTGGCCGTAAACAAAAAGTACCACAAACTACTGTACATTCACAGATTTTCTCATGCTAGTGCAAAATCTGATCGCAATCGTGAACAGCTTGGTATGTTCCAGTTGCAAGACCGTCGATTACAGCATGAAATAAGTTGTATAAAATATGATACGAATATACGAACCCAGGTCGAACAATTCCGTACTCGGGTCCTACAGAAATTCGACGGATTCGATGAAATTCTGTTGACGGAATCGCATTGGATTCCGACGGTCTCAGATTCCAATGCAATGCCGAGAAAAAAACATATGCAGAACATAGTGTATTTTTTACCTTTAAAGTGTACAGTGCGCACCTGGTCTTCTTACTCAGAGTGGAAACACAGTGCACATGAAAAAACCCACCTATTCCGCGTACTTCACACTATAGACCGCACTTTGTTATTAGAAATACTGCTAATGATTTCTACAACGTTATTGTCCTTATCTTATTGTATATTTGCTTAACGTGACAGCATTTTTGTATATTTACTGTCTTTTCTGTATAATAAAAGCGTTATAAAAGATTTTGGCAAGATACATTTTCTTTTACTATATGACGAATTTTGTTACAAGCAAGATGAGTAAAAGTATGTATTTAATGTGAATTAATTTTAATTCAACAATAAACGGCTACCATTTCACAGATTAATTACTCGAATTCTTCAGCCCTTAGTAATTATCTGAAAATAGAATTGAAAACGATTTTACTTGTTAATCAGATTTAGTATGGTAAATAATAATTTTAATACGCCATCGTCATTTAGTCGACATACTCAGACAATCGAAAGCTCAATTGTCACTTGGTTATGTCTTGATAAGGACAAGTGTCATGAAGATAGTAAACACATAACAGTTAATCTTCAAAATTTTGGTTATACAATAGAAAGTTTTAATGATATCGACGAATGCATAGATTTTATTACTACGTTTACATATAAAAAACACTTTATGATTATATCAGGATCAGAGACCGGCGGTATTGCAAAATTTTAATACCGTTTCGTACCGCGTACCGTCTTCTTTAGTTCCATACCGTACCGTACCGTTACCGCGTAGGTTCTGAGCATACCGTCTCGCGAAATACCGTACCGCCGACAAAAAATTTTCGAATTTTTTTAGAGTGATTCTAACTTGTTCCCTTTCATATATGTCATATAAGTTCCTTTTTCGAAGAACATCGATAGGAAAGTATTAATATACATAGACATATAATTATAAACATATGCGTAAAAAGTATTTCAAGAATGCATGATATGATTCCACTGACACCCAGTGTTGCGCAGCTTTACGAAAACCATCATCATCATAACAAAAGATTTTATATCTGTTGCACTATTAAGTGTTTTTATTTCTTTAGAATGAGCACTAAGAAATCAGACAGTTTTGGAGTG